GAAGAAGTAATCGAAGCTGTAAATGGTTATTTTGAGGAGCTTGACGAATCAGTCTATAGAGATGGCATTAATAGACTGGAACACCGCTATGAGAAATGTATCAGCCTTGGAGGAGATTATGTTGAGAAATAAAAAAAAAAAATTTTTAAAAACCTTGTTTTTCTTGGTCAGGCCGGAAACTTATCAATCCACCCTCGTATTTTGTTTGTTCTACTATTTCTACGGCAAATTTAGTCATTTACAATCGAAAATTGAAATTTTTGCATTGTCATAAAAATTTAGTTTTCACCGTGTACACTTTCTAATATCTCCCCACTTCACCACATTTCGAATGCTTCTAAACTTTTATTTTTCAATTCCATTGTTGGTAAGCGTTTATACTTTTTTTTGAGTTCTTACATAATCCAATCTCCAATTTTCCTTTTCAATAATATTGTACAATAGAAATACAGTTAATGCTGACGTCTAATCGGAAATCCCATTGAGAATGACCGAACAACAACGCAACAATATTGTCAAGTTGGAATGAAATATTTGTAGTCAAGTGTTTCTTTTATCTTTCAGATTTGGAAAAGTTTTCCTTTTACAGAAAAGCTTGTTTTTGATATTTTTTTCTTATCTAATCTGAACAAGTACGAGCTACAAACTTATTAGGAAACTTTTTCAAGTGTTGTTGTAGCAAGCAATAGCTAAGGAGAGAATTGGTAAACATATCTTGTAAACTTTATGTCCGGATAATAATTCTGCACTACAGACGGATACACGGTTTTGATGGTCCAATAAAAGTGACCTAATAAACAGTATGAAACGTTAAAAACGTTGCCGTTTCTTGTGTAAAAGCAACTCATAAACCGTTTATTACAACTTGGACAAAAGTGTTTTGAAAAGTTGATAACAACACTTCAGTTCCTGGGACCAGATTGCTTCTGTAATCTTGCGAAAATGTTAGCTACTTTACAAATCAAACTTTAACAATAAGGTGATAGAATTCCAACAATTTTATTCATATAAAAAGAGTAGTTCAGACACAATAGTGTAGTAAATAATGTTAATGTTAATATCTTTTACTGAATTATATTCTACGTGTGTATTTAATACAGCAAGAACCTTAAAGATATTTAAAGAGAAAAACAGAAGCAGTACACCAATGAATAAAGTAATATTAATCTTGTTAATTGTCGTAATTTCTAGATGTAACAGACAATTTTTATGCTTACCTTCCAATTACAACTGCTAAAGTTTTAATTGCTCGCCTAATAAGGGTGAATTTTCTGGTACCATTAGAACTTGGTATTTTTTTAACAATTCAACTTCGTTCCTGCCGTTATACTTACACCGTCAAGTAGTTTGTTAGAAATGTTCACTTAATTGGAGCGACAAATAAAACTTGAATCGAGCTTTTAAAGGTAAGGCAATTTAATTGAAAACCCTTGTTACTCCACACAGTGGTAATTCTTTAATTAGTAACGTATTTGGAAACAATGGGGCAGCAAGGTAGATAAATATTTAAAATACCGTTTTTTTTTCCAAGCGATAGAAAAGTCTGCTGTGAAGCAGTCGAGGATTTTTCCGTAGGATTGAAACTTTAAAAAGTTAATTACCAACATGGGAGTGGTAAATTTGCAACCTGGCGTGGAGTAGTGTTACATTTTTAAATAAAAATGTTAATAGTAGAGATAGAATCGTTGGTGATGTTATTCGAAACATTTTTATTAATAAAATTGTATTGAAAATGACTACATACACAAATATAATGTTATTAGTGTAATGTTGATACTTAATTCGACCAAAAATATAATAATGTGTAAATACTCTAATATGATGGTACATCACGTCAATGCTTCCAAAACAAAATATGCCGTGCATTAGTCAAGGATGGTGTAGCTTTCAGTTAGTTAAAAAACTTTTAGAATCGATTAAGCAATTCCAGAAATTAGCCCCTACATACAATATTACATTCTTTATAGTACTAGTGCAGATTAGAACTTAACGATAAAACAGTACGTGGAATAGGGTGTTTGATCTAGTATCTTTCGATGCATTACTTCAGTTTTTTATTCTTTGTTTCAGGCCAAGTTAGAAACCAAAGCTTTAAAGGCCAAAAGACCGGGTTTTACTGATGATCGGTACAACGAAACATCTTACTACATAGAAAATGGTAAGTCTTTTTATTTGTTACTCTGAATATAAATGTAATAAGTATTCATTTAAGAAATCGGTCAAAAAAGCTCCTACCATAAAAGCTCAAATTTTTAGTGTAGGTACATACTATCTGAATCAATTTGTAATGTATGCAGTACCAAGTAGAGGAGAGGATTTAGTAGGCCTGGGGCCATGTGCTTTGTATATATGTAGTCCTTCTTGTTTTCATAAAACTAATTTTTTTAATTAGAAAACATTGAAAGAGTTACTTCAGTTTAAAAACAATAAGTGAGATTTTGAGAAGTTTGTAACTTAGTAAAGCACTGAAATTGTGAAAAACAAAACCAGTCGTTCGTTTTAAGACAGAATTAGAGAACATAAAAAAATGAACTAGATTAAAAATTTCAGTTAGATGTAAACATGACATTTGATGTTACTGCTCTGTTCGCGAAACCTACAGTGTAACCATGTAGATAAATTTACTAGACAGGGAAATTAATAATGTTTATTTGTTTTGGTCCAGTAGAGCCCTTTTTTATTACAGGTTTACGAAAAGTGTATCCGTATTATTTTACATTCACGACATTCACAAAGGGTAGATGGGTGGGAGAGAAGATATTGGACGTCTTCGCGAGAGAGTTCAGGGCGCATCCGGCAGAAGAATATGAAAGGTGCATCAAAGCCGGTACTCTGACCGTCAATTATGAAAAAGTTGACACTGATTACCGACTTAAGCACAACGATTTGCTGGCCAACGTGGTTCATCGGTAAGAATTTTCGTTTATGAATTAACAACCTTAAATATTTATGTTCTATATGTTTTCTTTTTTTCATTCAGACCACATTTTTTCAGTCCTTTTTTTCGTGGGTTTTATAGGGCTATTGTCTATATTCATAAATTGTTTCATTCAAAGTACATGTCACTAACTATGTGACATGATATTGTGATTTGGATAAATAGGTAATATTGGATTTAAAATCGAAATTTTCACGATCGATATCGTTCAAGTATTATAAGTCCTTATTTTTATTCTCAAAACAAGTTATAGTAAGAAAATTTCATCCACTTTTTCGGAAAATAAAATACACGGAATTACAAATTATCCCCTAAAAATCGATTTACCCCAACAGAGACTTGGGTAATTTATCTACGCATATTTTAAATGTCAAATCTTCTGTTCTCGTGTCCATATTAGGATGAAGTATGTACGTATATCTACGTATTTAATTTTGGAAATGTTTCTAAGTTTTGCGTCGTATTTTTTATTATATAATGGTTGGCGACAATTTTACTAATTGTTCAAAAACTTGTCTAATGAAAAATCGACCGATGTTACAAATCTTTGGTTGTCTGCCAAGGTTCTTGTCATAAATAAAAACCGTCAAGACTGGTCAGCATTGAACATTAACAGTTGCCAAATCAATTTGCTGTTCCACACAGAAAGAAAATCTAAATCGCATATCTGAAACGTCTCACATATTAGTTGTTTAATTAAAATTTCGAGAATTAATTATATTATTCAAATTTGTGTTATGTGTATCTATATTTTTTGATTTTTAATTTTTACGCGTTTTACATACAAAGTGTTTTATTATTTATATTTCATTCTTATTATCTCATATACTGTCCTGCACCTTTGACATCACTTTTGATGAATGACTTACACAAAACACGTATTTTGCATGCCATTGAATACGTACATATTAACAATTAGTTTTGGTTTTCTTTACTGTTTTCCTTTCAATTTAATTGATTTATTCGAATAACGCTTGCTTGTCATATAACCATTTCTATTATGAGAGATTATGAAAAACTTCTGAAAACATTTTCTTTATAATAGGCCTCTACCTATAATTAGAGGAATTTGATATAGTTTGCTAGAATTACCTAATCCTTTTTATAAATTACAAATGCTTAGTCTTTGTATTAAAGCAATAATTCAGAGAAATTGTGTGAAAGTTAAATTGAATTAACATGAACTTTTGTATGGGTTCTTGCGTTCATTATAGCAGTTTATTTCTAAATTTCTTCTTAAGTAATTTAATATTTGGTAAGGGATAAAAACAACGGGGAACGCTGATACGTTTGTAACTGAGAAATTATGGAAAAACAGCCCAGAAAACAATATCAAATCGATAAATCTCGGCCCTGAAAAACTGAAAACTGCACAATATTCCATGTTGCGCTAATAAATATAATCAAAAAGTGTTAAAAAACATTTCGAAAACATTACTTATTAGATGAATATTTTTTTCAACTTATTACAATGTGTATAAGATCAGAGCAAAAATCAGATGGTAAAATTTTTTTTTTAATAAAAAGATTGATGTTGATTCTACATCAATAAAACTATTTACAACCCTATTTTGGCTCTGTTCCTTAGGCCATAGGTGATTTCGATTTCTCGATAAATCACACATCAAATTGAAGATCATTAAATATAAATTGATATAATATCGTCTAATAGGACCAAAATCTAGTGATTTAATGAAATGTTATAATGAACGTAGAAGTAACTCGGATTAAGTGATGGAATAAAATAAAATCTATGAGAAAGCACATATAGAATTTAGGTAACAGCAAGTGAAACTGTAGCATCTGAACGTATGTATGCTGTTCCAGACATGAAGTTCCCGTCACTAGCGATTCGATCACCATTGTACATTTGGACGAAGACGTTGTGGTGGTCAACAAACCCGCCTCTATCCCAGTAAGTGGCTTCACGACTGCCATTAAATTATTTTACCACCTTTTAAAAGGGAAACTATATTAATTAGCTTACACTGTGCATACTAACTGTTTACGTAAATGCCTTACACAAATAATAGCATTCCCTAGTAATACAATAATACCCTTCTGCTTTTTTAACGCACGGCAATTCAATCACCGGGATGAAGCTTCCCTAAAATCCCTGTACCTAAATGTATATGTAACTTATTAACAATCTGAGATCAGAAACTATTATGAAAAGTAGTTAGTTCACTTTATAAATCATTGTATTACGCCCTTTAGACCCGAATCAGGACAAGATCAGTTGAAAATTTATGTTATTTCGTAAAATAATCCGGGAATCGTCAGAAATTTTTAGTTTTATAGTTTGTGAATTTCTTCTTTTACTGTCCAATGTCAGAAACAAAAATAGAAGTCTTGTAGGATCACTTATTAAGGGGCTGTCTTGTCGATAAATGATTACCGTGAATAGCTTTCTTTTCGTCCTCTTATTTCTGAAATACCAGGAAAAAAAAGGTTCTCCTTTATATTTTAGGAAGGCTTCTAACATTTTTTTATATAGGTACATTAAAAAAAAAACTTTTCATTTTCTCAAGCAAAAATTCTACGGCATCGCCACGCGTCGAAAACTAGTTCGAACCGTAATCTAATGTCATTATCATCTTTTCTCCATTGAAAAACACGTTCACTGTACTTACTTTAGAAAATGTTGATAGCTACAGCTTTCTAAAAGGAATTATCATCTCTTATATGGTTTATTCTTTTTCGTAAAGCAGCATTTACGGATATTCTCTTGATATCATTTTTTTCCCCTCGGTAATAGATATTAATATATCATTTTACAACCTTTTTTTATTACAACGTCTTCTAGTTGCTACGCGCGCAGTAACATTGAAACTTGTATTTCAGTGAAGATGTTAAAGCATTTTATTACCAAATATGGCGCTTAATACCGCATCGCATGTATCTTTGAAGGTGTTATTAACCATTAAAAGATGTAGTTTAACCGGCATGTTTACTGTACATATATACGTAGTCGGGTTACAATGTCCCTAACTCCCTAAAACTCCTCTAGAATTTCATTCTACACATTTTAATGCGATCGTTTAGGTAAATGCAAGTAAGTAACACCTATTTACTGAGATTGCTACTTTACGAACGATTTTTATTAGCTGATAGACTGAAAATCTTTTCAAGTTTTTTTTTTCACTCAGAAACGACATAATTTTGGTCTACTTTTACGAGGTGTGTTAATAATTGTAAGTAAATTAACAGCGACGTAACAATTTATGCAGTATACCGCCCGAAACACTAAAGAAAAGGTGATTTATGTTACTGTTAATACGTTTACTTGATGGCTAGTTTGTAAACTTACTGGACAGTATACAAACTGTCCAAATGTCTGGTTACTTTAATGGAAAATCATTTTTCCTCAAGGAAAATACAAAGATTAATTAGTGTTCATGGCTAGTTTGCAAAATATCCACCGTATTTAGCTAAAGTATGAACTTAATATTGGTAACAATTCATACCAGTCAACTCTAATCGTTTCCCAGACACATTGACCAAAGGCTACCTTACAAAATCACCAACAGTTTGGTTATTGTATGTTACTAACAGCGTTGAGTTCACATTTTATCCAAATGCTGTGAACATTTTGCAAACTAGCCCTTGTGGTTTTCACTTTAGCCACAAATCTTGTATAGTTTGTAAATTAGCTGGGTACTATACAAACTAGCTATTGTGGTGGATGTATTATTTTCCATTAAAATAGTCAAACATTTGGACAGTTTGAATATTTTCCACCTACTGCAGCATATTATACGTAACATCTACTTATACCAAAACCGATTTTTTGAAAGACGATTTTTTACAGAACCGTGACTGTAGGTCATAATATTTGATTTTAATTTAAAGCTGTGTTAATGAAGGAAACTACTTGAAGTTTTTCGTGTTAATAGACATGTCTAGTACCTGCCAGTATTGCCGAACTTGGGCTATTATTACGAGCTATCAGACATGATATTTTGGGCCGGCCGCTTTTCTTTGACGTCCCGGATTAAACTGCATTGTAATTATTTGTTTTGCAATTAATAACACTGTAAATAGGCGCTTTTCTTAACAGAAACTTACACCTCACTACACATTTCCTTTCACAATATGAGACTACTTGAAGGATAGCTAAGGATTGCTGTGTCACTCTATTTTCGAACTTGAAATAAATCAATAACTGTTTGACAATCATTTACATCAACTTTAGTAAAGTGGTGTCTTGTTCCTGAACATTTCGTTCTGGATTTTGAGCTTACCTTAACAGCAAAACTGTGTAAATAAATTAAGGGAATAATGTACACAGTAAAGTAAAATTAATGGTGTACACGATTTCACGAAGTCGTAATTTTTATTTGCACGCTAAATAACAAATTACTGTGAAAACGAATTTAGATATACTTTACAGAGGAAAACTACATCATTATTTTTCTTCAATTAGGGCTTAATTAAAGTTCAGAGATCCGAAGGTTTACTACATCTGAAGGCGACTCGATCACGTTCGGATGACTCGCTCAGTTTGAAAATGTTAGAAGTTCCCGTTTAATCGGCTGGCATTTCAGTTTTAATAATTTCTCTCGAAAAATAATACACAATTAGGAAATTTACGTGAAGTAAAATTAAACAGAACAGTCGTAGAATTTACGCTCATCCTTTTACGTGTAGCGAATTACCTTTTAGTATAGCATCTTTCTCATTATGTTTTTAATTTAAGTTTGAAAGTTAATTCGATTATTTTATAAGTCTAGACGCAGAGGTCGTTTTGTCTTTTTTGTATTTAGTTAGAAACTTGATGAATCGTAGAAAATCTCAAAAATTTGGTTAATAAACTTATCATGCAAAAAATTTAAAAAGGTTTAAGTTTTTAAATCGTTAGCACATTTAAGGGTTGCTTTCTTTTACTCTAGTTTTCGTTACAATATTAGGAATAATAATGGCAACTATGCATGGCAGGGTATGTCGAACAAAGGAACTTTGTTTCTTATTTCAATTCAATAATTAGTTGAACTATTTAAAAGAAAATAAGTATCTTAAAATGTGAACCCCTCTTACAATATTTTAAGTATCATTATAAATCAGGATCTTGTCCTTCAGGATAATAATTATTGTAATACAATGGTTTCTTCAGGTGTGGAAGAAATAATAGTGAAAATAGGTACGGTTGTTGTTTAATGGAAAGGATAGCAAATTAAAATTCAATTTGAACTTCCCAATTATTAAAAAAGTCAAACGCTATAGTTCTATTTAAAATTAGCAATAGATATGCATTTATTATTAGAGTGTAAAGTCCGCAATGAAGTCTACATTGGCCAGACGGGAAAATCCTTTAAGTAACGAATGAATGAACACCTTCTAAAAAAATTTTTTACTTGTAAACATTTCACTCCACTTAAGCGGAACACATTTTAATCTTAAGCATATTATAGAACAAACAGAAAAGCTCAAAACCCCAACGCCAAAACACGACACTGTAGTTGTCCGAAGCACTTTTCGGTAACGAAGTTACCTTCTTCAGGGACTGAAGTTTACTTGTGCTTCGGACAACTACAGTGTCGTGTTTTGGCGTTGGGGTTTTGAGCTTTTCTGTTTGTTTTAATATATGCTTAAGATTAAAATGTGTTCCGCTTAAGTGGAGTGAAATGTTTACAAGTAAAAAATTTTTTTAGAAGGTGTTCATTCATACGTTACTTAAAGGTAAACTTTGTTACCGAAAAGTGCTTCGGACAACTACAGTGTCGTGTTTTGGCGTTGGGGTTTTGAGCTTTTCTGTTTGTTCTACAACAATCGCCAAAGTTTTTCCAATCTTCATATTAAGCATTTTAAATAAGAAAAAAGTTAATTTACTCAAAAGTATGTTTATAAATAAAATACAGTAGAATGAATGTTATTATTGTTGACCATATATATACTAATAAAATCTATTTGTACTATGATTTCTTCCACCTGAAAAAGCCGTTGTTCGGAGAAACCACAAGATAATTATTTCATTATCGTCATTCAGCAATTTATCGAATTGAAATAAAAGTTGTCTTTTTCGACACTGCCAACTATTGGATAGTGAAGGTAGTGTTCAACTCAATGTATATATAAATATTTATGCACTCTCGCCTGATTGTCCCTTAAAAAGTACTTGGTACTACTTAATAAGACGGCAGAGCATGCAGGACAGCCCGGCTGACACTGTTGTTCATTGTTGTTGTTTACAGACACGAGACCCCTATTTTAGCAAAGCCGATCCGGCTAATTCACGTTGACGAAGACCTTGTTGTCCTGGACAAGCCGTGCTCAATGCCGGTGAGTACCGATTAGTGCCGGTATAGAGAAAGAACAACGTACTCGACGCTCACCAATTCGAGTTTTTTAATACCGCTTTCAACCCACCTCATTATCGATCACCAATTCGAGTAATTTTGTCGATGACCACTACACTGACGAACCTCTACATCGAGTGAAACAGTGTTTATGTTTCTTCGTATCTAAAATTCTTAGGCCACTAAAATGAGTAACATATTTTCCGAACGTTTACACAGATTTACCCTTTTAAGCATCATTACCTGAACTTCGATGTTACTAGCAACAATTTTATTCATCATCATAAAACCGTCAGTCCTAAGACTGGTTGGACACGCACCTCTAATCCTGAGCTAATCTTCTCATTTCCCTAAAAGAACAACCCACATCCTTAACTATTTGCGAATACTCTACCCCTCCTAACTCCCGTTTCTGCCTCTAATATAGAGTCTCTGACTAAACCTTCATGCCTAAGAAGGTGTCCTACTAACCTACCTCGTCTATTTCTTATTGACATCCATAGAGTCCTCTGTTCTCCTATTCTTTCTAATACCTCTTCATTTCTAACCTTCTCTATCCACGGTATCCTCATCATTCGCCTGTAACTCCACATTTCGAACGCTTCTAACCTTTTCTTTTACGTCGCGCCCACTGTCCATGTTTCTCACCCGTACAGCGACGCGCTCCAAACATACACCTTTAACAACCTTTTTCGAATTTCTAAATTAACCGTTCGCGAGCATAGAAGTGACTTCTTTTTATTAAAGGCGACACGACCCTGCGCTATCCTCTGCTTTATATCCCTACTACTCCTTCCATCCTGACTTATCTGCTACTTCTTCTAATTTTTCGTCTCTTATCTTTATATTGGCCCTTTCCCTGCTTTTTCATCCCTTGCATACCAGTATTTTTGTTTTACTTCTATTTATTGTCGTACAGTGCTGTTTTGTCAGTACCGCTTCCATTTTATTTAAAGCTATCTCTAACTCCTCCTTGCTAGTTGCTAATACTGGACAATAATAACAATTGGATTTTTATTTTTAGATCACTACAATGAGTGGGTAACTTTTTAATATCCATGACGAGCAAAAATTTTGTTGGTCGTTCAATTTAAATACCTTTACCGGTTGTTATCTCAGGGTATCCTTCTTATTTATATATTTTCACCGATCGTCCTTTGAAGTCATCCGCTCCTACTTTGAGCTCAATTTTCACTTCTTATTTGCTACTATTTGTGGTCATTTTCACATTAAATTTTGGTGTTCGATAATGAGGCAATTGCCAACGGGACCGCAACACCCGTACCGCAGCCCCCCCTTTTTACCTCCCGCATTAAAAAGAGTTCTTGAAACGTTTTAAGGGCCAAACGATGCATGTTGTTTTATTCTGTTATTGTCAATTCTCGTACTATCTTTATTTACCGAAGGTATTAAAAATTGTCGATACCTACCACGTAAATTCGAGATGAAATACATGGCATTCCGCAATTATTACACCTCAGGTACTAGTCAGTATCAATATTCGTTATAACAACTAATTAGACCTTTATTACGTTTTTTTCCCCCCGTAGGAAACATATTTTTGTTGTAAAGATTGAAAAACGTCTTTAATGATAAAATTGGCATTCCATGTGTTATCCTGCTGTCTTGTATGTCTGCTACTAACTATTGCTTTTTGTATTGCTTATTTCTGATTTTAACGCTATTCATTTGTCTTAAATTACTGCTATAGCAAGCAATAAATTAATTTGTTAAGGCAAAAGTAAAGCCGCTCTTGTCAATAAATTGTGAATTAAATGAATTACAATTTACATTAGGATTTATTGTTGAAAATGAGGTGGTTCTAAATTTTATTTTGTAAATACAAAATTGGCCGCTTATTGATTCTTAATCGATAAAATGTTGACGCGTTATAGGTCCATCCTTGTGGAAGGTACAGGCACAATACAGTAGTGTTTATTCTTGCAAAAGAGTACAATCTGAAGAACCTGCGTACTATTCATAGGTTAGATAGGCTCACCAGTGGTTTATTACTGTTCGGAAGATCACCGAAAAAGGCTAGACAAATGGAACATCAAATTCGAAATCGTCTTGTTCAGAAAGAATATATTTGCCGAGTTGAAGGAGAATTTCCCGAGTAAGTTCAGTATTTTACGTTTTAATAGTCGGTCATATTCAGGAGATTATTTGCATTGATATAAAAATGATCTCTTAAAAGTCATTACCTTATCATGGACTTTTTGTTATGATTAACCATTGAAGATGGTAATAATTCTCCGTAGCGAAACGTCGAAGAATAATGAATGTTCAGGACGACGTACTACATCAATAAAAACCTGAACAGAAATACTTAACAAACTTTTAAAATAGTTACATAGTGACCAGGGTATTCCACAGGAATAAATTTTATAAAATCCTGAATATGATTGAATTAGGGAATAAAATTTAGTAGAAAAGCAATATTGTATTTGTTTGTTTAGCGGCTTGGTGGAATGCAAGGAGCCTTTAGAAGTGGTGAGCTACAAGATAGGGGTTTGCAAGGTTTCGGAAAAGGGCAAAGATTGCGTGACAATATTTCAAAAGTTATCGTACGACGGTCAAACAAGCGTTGTCGTCTGCAAACCTAAAACCGGCCGAATGCATCAAATCCGTGTTCACTTGCAATTCCTAGGTGAGTAACAAAACTGAGGTCATTTTTCGCTACGTTTAATAAAACGTCTGAAAAACGACTTGTTCTCCGCAGGATATCCGGTAGTAAATGATCCTTTATATAACCACGACGTGTTTGGACCCAACAAGGGCAAGAACGGCGACTTTGGTGGAAAAACAGACGAGGAACTTGTCAGGGACTTAATTCACATTCACAATGCGGAAAACTGGCTCGGAATGGACGGCGACACCGAACTCTCCATGTTCAACCCTAGTAAACCTGATTTGGAGGATTCGTTGGTCGAATCCTTGGACACGAAAGGTAAAATTTATTATTCTCATTACATTTAACTGTTGTTTCAATTTAAGCGACTTCTCCTTTCATTTCTATCCAGTTGTTCTTCGCGGTTTCACCTTGAGTTTTCCGAAAAATTAAACTTTGACAACCCTTAAAACAGCTGGCTATTTTCAAGAAAATAATATTCTCTTTTTGATAAAATTAAAAATCTTTTATTTTGAATTTTTATTAGCTTCTTTTACATTTTTATCAGTGCATCATCTCCATAGATCGTTGCGAATTCCATTAATATAAAGCCTTCTTTGAACTATGCTCTTTTCGATAAAAATAACAATTTTAAAAATCTGACTAGTAATTCCAAGAATTATCCTGTACAATGAAACTTATCAATTTTATTCTTTAACATACATTTATTTATTATTTTAATTATTGTAATTTCGCAAACATACCCATGTACATATATATATTTTTCGGCTAAAAATTGTCATAAAGAATCGTTCGTACGAAATTTCTTGCAACTACATTTTTTTTTGCTGTGAAAAAGTTAGTTTCTTTGTTTATTTCAACGTAACAAACTTGAAGTAAACGAAAAACGATAATGATAAAGTAAAGTCTAGTGGGAAAAGTGATTTTTGGTAAGGTAATAAT